TATAAGCCGTAGTCATCACAAATCTGGGCATTTGGTTTCTTCGGGATTGTAATAAATGTTCACTGTAGCCAGTTCTCCGGGATTTTACCGCTATTATATATGTTGTTAAAAAGTACAACTAGATTATCAAGGAACTGTTTGTCTGATTTACATAGGATCTTTAATATTTTGCAGGGTACATTGTCCGGACCTGCTGACTTATTGTTTTTTAGTGCTGCAATGGCATCTTCTATCTCCGATTTAAGAATTGAAGGTCCTGTTTCTCCTTCTCCATATAGGTGATCATCAGTCCTGTTAGATGCAAATAATTTTTCTATGTATGATTTCCATGTTTTTAAGATCGTTGATGGCTCCGAGATAAGATTTCCATCGCTATCTTTTATGCTGTTGGGTGACTTATTGAATTTCCTCTTGTTTGTCATCGATTTTATTTTTTTGTGCATATTGTAACTGTCGTATTTTCGTTCGTATTTGTTCTATTTCCCTGCATTCGTTGGAAAACCATTTTTCTTTGGCTTCTCGAATTTTCGTTCTTATGGTTTTGTGGATCTGCTGGTATTTTTCTGCATTTTTATTCTTGAATTTACGTCTTTCATCCATCATATCCATTATCTCATCAGACATCCATTCTTTCTTTTTTCGTCGGTGACGCTTTAAAAGAGTCGCGCATGTTGTTTGGATTGCTTCCCTCGATTTATCCCATCTCTCTATTATGTCCGACGTGTTCTCGTTAATGTCCTTTATTTTCTTTCCTAGTTGTTCTCGTACTTTTATTTCGGTTTCTGGGTTAGTGAGTTTTTTAATATCGATTGTGTTTAAATTGGATCTTTTCTCGAGCCGTTTTACTCTCATGACCATTCTGCATACCAACACATTGTGGTCCGTAGGAACATCGGCACCTGGGTACGTTTTTGATGATTTTATCATGTTTTATATCTTGTTGGTACTGCTATATAATCTATCTGATTTCTAATGATGTTGTCAGGTGAGTCAGCGGGGGATTTCCATGTGTAAAGTCGACGTTTGGGAAGCTTGAAGAGTGTATTACTTAACAGCAGGTTATATTCAACAGTTCATGGAATAGTAAACAAATCAATGTTTTTCTGGAATCAGTGGATATTCAGACTTTTTACCCCTGTTTATGTTTCAAACTAACTAGTTTAACTGGTTGTTTTAACTACTTGCAATATAGTGTCGTTGATTCTGCTCTTAAATAAACTTATCAATCAATAACAGAGAACAAAAAATACAGTAAAAGAAAGTGCGATGTCCTTTAAAATTCGATAAAAGAGAAAATCACAAGGCCTCCCGTTAATGTTAAAATCCCATTGAATATTCTCTAAATATGTATTCTCGATAAAGTTTTTTCATACCTGACGACTCGTTAATGATCTAATGACACGCTTGAAGTAAAATTCGCAATCAGCAGCCAAGATCTTGACATCGTTTCCGAGCGACTACTTATGAAATTGAAGAGAACAGGCAAGAGACAGCAGATTTATTTTACAGATTAACCTTTATTCACTTTAAAAGGGATTTGTACTCTATTTTAATTCTCGACAGCCCACTTCAGTGTCTATTCAAGATTGACATCAACGAAATAAAGAGAAATGAGGATATATATTCGAAATATCTGTTGATTAAGGCCGGAATTGAAGAGTTTGGTAAAATCTCATTAATTAGTTAAATTCAGAAGTTGTGGCAGGAATAATGAGATTAGCAAAATTACAATAATATCAGGAAATAATCGAATTTTATAATAAATGTGAAAATGATAAAATTTTGTTATATTCATATAATCTTTCTGGGCCAGACATTTCACGATTGATGTTTTTCCGATATATTAGGTACTTAGACAGCAATAACACATTTTTCTTTCAAACACAGTCCTACTATTTCCTCCATACCAGTTCTTGCTATGCACACACACATGAGTTCATCCCAACCCCTAGGAACGTGAGTGTACCACTGCTAGTCAGTGGGACCCCCATGTCCTAAGATCAAACCAATCTCGTTCCAAAAGAGTATATCATCTTGGCTCGGTACCTATCTGACCCCCAGGTTTTTCTTCCACCCCTCCCCTACGTTTGACATACGCAGAGGAGGCTATGAACTATTACGTCGGGCGATTTTGGGAAAAGAAAACACCCTCCGTTTTTCTTGACTTGTGGTTAGGCCACCTGACTGTAGGGTGACTTAATGTAGCTTTTCTCCCTATTTACTTTACTGAATTTATTATTGAGTTGAGTTTGGGCTCTGTGTCCCGGAAAAATGTGTGTCCGACCAGGGGGTCGGCAGCGAAGCTGCCGAAAGTTCTGCGTTGGGTCAAACAGCCGCCAATTTGGCAAAACAAGTTTTGGTCCCCTTGCCGACTGATTGATCGATGGGTCTGGCCATTAAGCCCGTGTATGTCGCAGGTCTCGGTGCTCAGGTTTGCGATTGCTTAGGGCAAATTTGTCCTGATGGGCTGTTTCCTGAAGTGTCTTTTTGCCTGAAGGGCCTTGTTCTGAAGGGCTTTAAGAAATGTGGATCTGTGTCCACTGGTTTGAAATGACTTTACTAATTAACAGATTTATTGTTATACTGTATGTGAAACTTTCTGTAAATTTTCTTTACTTTTTAATATCTGTAACGACTATCAATAGCTGGTATGTTATACCCATTAATTTCGTAACTTTTAAGAGTACATCCAATCACAGCAAACATATATTTAAAACTAATAAAGTGAAATATTAGATTCTTTTTCTAGTTTCTGAACCATCGTTCTGCCAATTTCTTTTCATTTATATTAAAAATAGTATATTTATTTTTATTACAGTTGTAGTACCTAATAAAGTAATAAAATAGTGTAATATCAAAGAAACCCGGCACGCCTCTTTGGTGTTTACATTTCACCGAAATTGAACCCAAATGTCTGACGAACACATTTGGCTTCATATACCTACGTCATTGTATTTATTTGTAGAAGCGTTTGCGTAATTTTTTTTTTATTTTCGGATTAAATTCCACAATAAATTTTGAATCTATCTGAACATCCATTAACTGAAATAATTTTAGTTTAGATGTCATACTAACAGGAGATCCTTTTTATTGGAATAATCATTAGACCGATTTATTTTCATACTTCTACTTATACAGTAAAATATTCGTTGTTGCAATAATCCCAAACAGTCGTATATTCGTGGAATAATCTATAGTAGGGGTTTTAGGTGAAATAATAATAGAAGGAAGAAGTGCTCTTGCTATGCTTTCATGACTCTCCTGGATTATCTTTTTTTAAATTTTGTCGAAATCCATTCAAACGCGAAATGTGCGCAAAGCTACTAACCACGCAGCTTTGAACAGTCTGTGGGCAATATTTGCCCAAAATGTCAGTGATGCAAACAAAAGATATCTCACTCTAGGTTTCTACAGGCGTTGTTCTGTAAGCTCTTAGAATTATTAATAATGGAGTGTTATGAATAGTATCTAGGCATTTTAATATTAAAGTGCGAGGGAGCTTTTAATATTGTTAAAAAGAGAGAGGAACTTTTCTACTTTTAAGTACTATACGAACAGTACATTACAAAATTTATTCTATTCACACTCCATCTCAATAGCACTCTCAAATACATCAATTAACATTTGACACTGCAATAATAAAATTTAAAGAACCCAACTTCCTACACAAATCTGCTTTCCATATTCGAGGTACCACATGTTGAAAAAACATAAAGAGCCTTTTATAAAAATCTTTAGTTCACCACCACTGAATTCAGATACCTGTATAGTTGGTTGTCTACCAGTACTCACAAATTTTTACCAAACTTCAGTTCACCTATATTATTAAGAATTTTTTCAAATTTCCCAACGCAATTTTAGGATAAATTCATACTTTAGTTTCTTTGTGAATTAAAAATAACTTTGATCTCAGAATGGACCCTTGTGGGGTGCCATTTTATTTGTTTCTTGGTTGAAGTTATTGTACCGGAAATGCGAACCTGGAATTCATTACGAAATAAAAAAATTGCCTATGAAATTTATCATATTGCCATTCAATCCTCATTGCTGTATCTTTATTTAGGATGATTGTATGGCATGTAGAATCAAATGCTTTCTTAATATCAAAATTATTAATTGCTAGACATTTATCTTTAGTAGCAAATGCTTCTTGAATATGACTTTAAGAGTCAATAATGTTGTCAAGTGTGCTTTACTATGGGCAAAATACGTCTCTTATTGATTATTTTTTCTAATAGTTTGCTCATGGAGCAGGTTCGGGAGGTTGCCTGTAAGATTTAGGTAAAAATAAAGATTTGTTTGGTTTGGGTATAATAGAATTGTTTATTAGAGTTAATAGAATTGTTTATGCATTTTCTAAATGTATACTTTCTGTATTTAAGGTATTCAATGATAGAATAACTATATAAACTTATGATATTGTAAAGTCTTTATTATGTAAGCTATGCTGACAAATGTGGCAGTCCTTGAGAGAACAAATGCTGCTCGCGAGCTGCTTGATAACATCAAATGTAGAAAGATGGCCTATTTTGGACACGTAGTAAGGGGAGACCGATATAATATTCTTCAACTTATTATGATGGGTAAAGTCTCTTGGTTGAAGAATATATATATATATATATATATATATATATATATATATATATATATATATATATATACGAGCGTTACATTTAAAATACTCGATCGCGATATCTTCTTTTGACTAACTTCTTCAATGAAAATCCCCATTATTATATACTCATTCAGCTAGACTAGAAAAGTCGATCGCCTTCTGGTAAATTCGGAGGGTCGCGCCGCCGGCTGCATTCTTGGTACCTGAAGTTGTTATTCGGCCCTTCTGGAGAATTCGGTAGTACTTGACCTAGAAAATTCGTGAATGAATAAATATGTTTACGGTTTTTAATGTGACTCATATTTTTTTTAAGTAACAATATAATGTTCATGATATATTGGAGCTTTTTAATTATTTCTTATTAATATAATATCTCTATTTTCAGAAAATGGAATTCACATCTATTAAAATGCAACAAAACCCGAAAAAAACCGAGCCTTCTGAAAATACTAGTGTCCACATTTTGGCCAGAATACTTATATTTAGGCTGTATATTAGCTCTAATGGATCTCTTAGTTAGGCTATCACAGCCCATTATGTTGGGTAACATGTTATCGTACTTCAAACCAGGAACAGAGACTACTAAGGAAGAAGCCCTTTGGTATGCAGGTGCTGTAGTAGTTCTAAATGGAATCAGCGCTTTATTAATCAATCAATATATCATGAATGCCTTTCATTATGGTATGAAAGTTAGAGCAGCTGTTTGTTCTCTGATATACAGAAAGGTAAGGTATAACTTATTTTTCTTTTTTATTTTTTACCTAGATGCACTTTCTTGCTTCAATGCGATCAATATATTATTTCTTCCCCGACATCTTTAACAGTTCTTCAAGATCACCTTTATTTTGTAGACATATGACTTTATCGTCAGCATAACAGTGGATTTGGGTTTTTTATACCTAGAAATTTTCCGAAGTTCCTTAGCCATTAGATTTAAACATCAGTTGACTCAATAACTCCCTATTGGATATTATTTTTAAAGGAAATATGTGAAGTTAACGTTGTAGGTTCAATCAAATAAATTATAACAAATGTACCATACATGTGCATGTAAATTACATTACTAACAAGTAAACCTAAAACACTGAGACATAAACCCGAAAGCACCGTTTGCCAGTCCTGGTAGATTATGGGTGGGGTCGTTCTTAGAGGTGAGATACACAAGAAAGATTGACACAAAATAACAAAAAGAACAAAAAAAATAACAAATCTTCGAAAAAAAAAGGACGCGACTAAAATTCAATCTCTTATATATTTAGATCAATTTGCTTATTCAGGTTCATTCGGTCATTATGTTAGCAAAAAAAGAGAAGTCAGCTACTTCAATGGTTTATTGAATGCGTTTCGCTTTTTTTAATTTTTGAAAAGCTTCTTTAGTTTATTACAAATTTAATGAAGAACTTTATAAGTAAATACCTTACTATACTTGCAAAACATTTTGTAGTTTTTCAGATGTTCTATAGTAAAATTCCGATGCAGGAAGATGTAAACATTAAATCGTGTCCGAACCGGTATGAGCTACCGAAAACGTCGGCAGACGAAATAAAGATGGATAAAGACATTTCGTTAGTTTTTAAATATTTTTGAAGAACTGTTACTTGCATTTATGCATAAAATATTCATTAATTTTTTAAATCGGATTATTTTTTCACTTACTATGTGTTCAGTGATAACATTAATTTATTTGCTATGCAATAAATATGAATATTTGAGAAAAGAAAAAAAATAATAAAGTGTCATAATTATACTGTTTTACAAATTTTACCGACCGCTTCATTTGGGTTTCTTCTAGTGACAACCAAAAAACACTGCCTCTTGATTGTTTAGAAAATAGGAGCATCCGCACAATTATGTTTATTCTATTTTTCAGCGAGACGTCGTACCTTCACAGTGAGAATTGTTGAAAAGTAATTGGTAAAAAATATACGGTTCATAAAATAATTTGTTAGAAGGGAGGTTGTGAATGGCAGAATACATATATTAGACTATTTGGTAGTAACTCGTAATGTGGGTTTGATAAGAGAGTGATAAATCTGGTTCAATTTATCGATATCAGTTCGTTTATTAAGGGCTGATGGATATTTAAGAATATGGCACATTTCTAGGAGGGACCTCTTATGATAATTTTGTTTTTTGGGCCAGTCTTTTGACGTATTTAAAGTCCATTTAATGTTTGGTTAAGATGGCATGTTGTACTAAGGCAAAACAGGGTTTGGAAATCCTAATGTCGCTTTTTTGAGAAGTTAGATGACGTAGCAGACTTTTTTTCCAACATAAACTCTTTTTTTTTCAACATAAATCGCCGAATGAACCTATTAGTGATGTAACAAATGTCATTTTTTAAACATTCGCGAATGCGAATATATGCCACCGACATTCGCGAATGCGAATATTCAGTTTTTTTTTAATTTGGCAATTTTAATTGTCTCTGGCACTGCCGGCAGTCTCATTTCCGCGAGGTGTGTAGTCAATTGGAAAAAGTCTGTCATTTTTAACTGCTTTAAATTGTCCAGTATCATTCTATCATATTTGCTAAAGTAAAGATGTGAAACAGTTGTATTTATTGTAAACAAGTTTATTGTAGGCGGTTAAGCTTATTGAGGGGTCGTTTAAAAAGGTTTTTATTTATAGTCACGTCCGGGACAAAAACGTAGAATGCACGTTTTTCGATCTTATTTTCTCTTGTTATAATCAAATTTGACTTGTTATAGAGAGAAAGTTATAGCAGAGAACTAAGTTCTCTGGTTATAGTTCCAATAAAAATTTCACGGGACACAAGTCACTCCACTTGCCCTGCTCTGCTGGTGCACAAATACAAGTGAATTTTTAGTTAAAGTGTGATTAGCGATTTATTACTATGAGTAAATCAAATTATAGTGCAATATGGACTTATTTTTCACCACTTTTCGATACTGAACGAGCTAAATGTGTATATGTGTAATATTCGCAAAACATTCGCACAAATTTTGCAAATGCGAATGCAAATGCGAATATGCAAAAATATGCGAATATTCGCGAATGCGAATGCGAATGCGAATATTCGTTACATCACTAGAACCTATATGCCTCTCTGTTCACCGATAATTGACATAACATCTTATAATAATTATTATTTTAGACAGTTGTTGCTGACGGACTGAGATTAGACAGTATTCAGGGCTCTATTCCGTATATAAAAATTCTCATATTATTTCGAGTATGTATTGTTTAGTTTCATTTCATTTAATAAATTCTAACATTATTCACGGATTAATTCAACCCTTTCGTGGCCGTACCCGCTTTTTGTTTTTTTAACTAAAATACGAATACGTTAAAGCTATATAAAAATTTATTAGCATATCTATCACATTGTCAATTTATCCATTTAAAGTAATTAGTTATAATAATCTGCATAATATTTTGTAGTGATTTATCGTATAAGCGGATTGCTCTTTGATGTGGATGTTCATTTTATAAGCCATGTAGTTTGAATCCTGGGGCAACCAGAGCTTTGTAATTTAAAATTTTTAAACAGATATGCATCATTTAATTACTTCAAAATAATTATTCTCAGTACTCAATTTGGCTGTTAGTTAAAACGTATACAGGGTGGTGAATCGTCAAACGGGCCATAGGAAATTCAATGGGAAATTCTGAATTGTTGAATTCCTGCTTGTCTAATTATTCTACATCAAAAGTCATAAGAAACTATTTATAGAGGACTGAAATATGTATTAAAAACAAATAATAAAATTGTTCTACGAATTAAATGTATTCCAAAATTTTGAAAAAATATAATACATTTTTCAGGCCACCCCTTAAATTCAGGCCACACGAGGTACAAGAATGTGTATGCCATGTTGCGTTAATATCTGTTTCCTGTCTTCCGTTATCTTCTAATTCTACTCCTAAGTATTGGAGGGTTCGTACATATTCTACATTTAGTTCTTCTATTTTTATATTTATCTTTTCTTTTTCTTCATTTTCTCCTATCACCGTAACGTTTGTTTTATATATAGGTCTCATGTGAAAATAAAACACTACGAGCCTACATTTTTCTTTTTCTACGAGAATATTCATTTATGCTTTGGCAGAATCCAAGTTACCAGTTAAACAGATTATTTTTGTTCTATTTTCTATTTTGATAGACCTGTTTTAATGTCATTTTTAACCATTTTTCATGTTGTTAGACACCTCTCTATCGGGCTTCTCATATTTTCACGATTTTTTTCCATACTTTATTCTGTTTTATTTCTTTGTGTTTTACTTCACCTTACTTATCGGTCTTACCGTTTTACAGTAGTTTTTGCTTCCGTAAAAATTAGGATATACAAAATTATACTAATACCGATGATGACAAACTGTGAAGTGTGTTTGTTCCGTTTGCGCGCGATTTAACGGTCTGGAAGACGTGACACTCACGTAAGCCGAGAGTAGTTTTAGTTGGTGGTGGAGTACCATGGATGCATCCGGTAGCAAGACCCTACAAAAAGGAAAATGTGGTAGGATCTACTCTCTCTAGTCTGAATCCAACTCACGCCACGCCAGATACGATTCTCCTGGTACGGTCTTTAGAAGATTTCCACTATCACTCACAAAAAAATTTACTTACTTTGTGAGATATTAGTTTCTTTAAAGAGTATCGTTTAGCTACTTAATTCAGCGTATTTATCTTCTTCTGTACTTTTCTCCCACATTTCCATTGGTTGTTAACAAACAAAATCGTTTTAGTTTTTTTTATTTTTATAAATAACCATATTATGGCGTTGTAAGAGTCTCATATTATCTGAATTTCGTTTCCTCTGTTCTTTCGTATCCTTTTAGATAAACATGAATTATAGGCATATAACAAAATAATTTTAGTTTTCTGTTTTGACAAAGTTTGATAGTTCTTGTTACGATCTGCAAAGGGTTAAGATCCTCGTTGAAACTATTGAATAGAATATTTCAATAAACTGGTTATATCTTCTTCTTTTGGTGAATATTTGTTTCGAATATTGGCGATCATTCTTGCTATAATTATTTTATTAACTAATGCTTTAAATAGATTAGTTCTTGTTGTGGAGAGCCCTTTCCTCGGGTTTTCTAACCATGATATTCTTCTTCTCCCAATTCCTCGCCTTCCGAATACTTTGCCTTGAAGGATTATTTCCAGAAATCTGTATTTAGTGCCGTTTCTCATTATGTGTCCGAGATATTCTAACTTTCTCCTTTTAATCGTATACTCTTCTCTTTATTTCCCCATTTTTCGTAGTACAGTCTCGTTGGTTATCTTGTCTATCCATGATATCCTTCGGATTCTTCTGTATAGCCACATCTCGAAGGCTTCAAATTTGTTCTCTTTCTTTTGCTTCAGTGAGTGCCCAGGATTCAACTCCGTAGTATAATATCGAGAAATTATAACATCGTAGAGGTCTTACTTTTATCTCCAGATTAAGTTTGTTTCTTTGAAAGAGTTTGACCATGTTGTTGAATGCACTTCTAACCTTCTCTATTCTACATAATACTTGAGTAAATTTACTGTTTGTATTTTGAGAACGATTTCCGAAGTGGAAATTGAAACGTCAATAAACGTATTTCTATCTTTAATTGTGGCTTATTCCCAGTTAAATAGTAATTAATTTAAAATGCCACAAGAAAATAGCTTTAGAACAATATTGAATAAAGTATTTTAAAGAAGTGTAAAAATATGTTGCTTGAAGTTCACAAGAGTATATTAGAGACAATTTTATATGGATAACGGTAT